CATACATACATACATACATACATACATACATACATACATACATACATCAACATGAGGATTGGTGAGGATAGCCTAAGTGAACGTCTTTGGTCCTTGTTAGACATCAGGCGGTTTATTGGCCACTAAGTTGTTTTTGCTCTCTGAACTGCAGTAGAAACTTTGCTCCACCTAGTGGAGGCAGCCATTATAGACACACACCACCACACACTGAGTTGACACCTTTCTCTGTAGGACATGCAAACTAATAGTTAAGTGTCAGCTGTCAGGGCGCACCCCATCCTCTCTCCACATGTGCACACGCACGACCTCTGGAACACGCACTTTCTCAGATAACACGGACAAAAATGAATACGGTGTAGAGCAATCAACAAACACAACATTTTGCAACTAATAATCTTGCAGAATAACTTAAAGCAGAGTTTATTTTTCTTTTCTTTTTTTCATTGAAGCAGATCGGCAGCGTGCGTTTCCTCTTTCCAAACGGCACCCTGAGCGCGGTGCCCTATTTCCAGACGGATCCGTCTACCTGCGCTGCGGGCCCCTCCCTCCCTCCCTCTCTCTTCCTCCCCTCCTCCCCTCCTCCTCCTCCTCCCCCCCCCCCCCTCCTCGGAGTTTGCGTTGCTCTCGTTGCAGTAGGAGGGTCCATGTGCACAGAATGACGTCGCTCTGACTGCAAGTCCGACCGACTCCTCCATTTGTTTTTATTACTCTCTTTTCTTTTTTTTCTGTTTGTAAATTTTAAAATGCAAGGGCCACCCTAGATTTGGTTAATCTGCAAAAAATTTTTAAAAAATATGACGGCCATAATGTGAGATTATGTGCCAGTGTCGGCCGACCCCATCGCTGTGGTTCGTCCTGTTTCGGAGCGGCGGCTCGCTGTTGTGGATTACTAGTGATAATACGCAGCAGACTTCTCCTCCAGTCCGTCTGCCTGTCAAACTGCGCGCAATGTGTCGGGGAGAGTAGCGTTCGAGCGCGTTTGTTGATATTTATTGACTTTGCTTTGCTTGTCTCCCTTTTTTTTTTCTTCTTTCTTCTTCTCCCGGATTATCGCTGCCCAGCAACACGGCCACCTGACAACTCTGAATGTCGTAATTAAGGTAAGGAAAGACGGAGCTCCGTCTGCCTCCGCTTTCATTTCGCACTGCTCTGAAATTATACTAAGAGCAAAAGAAAAAAAAAAAACCCGAACTCCTCTGCGTTCAGTTTGATAACTGAATATCACACCCTGGGTCTATTCACCGTGGAAGAGAAATCTAATAACTTTCATCCGGGACCGTTAGCTCTCCGTTTGCTCCTTAATGAAACTCACTAAGAACTTTTATGCTGCACCCCTTCTTTGTGCGTTGGCTATTTAAAAAAAAAAAGTCGCCTAAATTTGCCAAAAAACAAGAATATTTTATACAAATTCTGCATCCCTGCGTTCATTTATCTGGAGACTGTTATCGAAAGTGCAGGGCATGTCTAAAACGCAACTTCTATTATTGACATTTCACCCCGCCACTCCAAGGCCTTCTTTAAAACCCGTAAAACTTAAATGCATAGCCAGAAAATAAACCCAGTGGCCAGAATAATGCAGAAATCTTGCTTTCTTTCGTATTTTGAAAAGCGCCAGAATGGGGAGGGTGTAGAAAGTCTCTCGGAGACAGGGTTTCAGTCTTATAGCGGATAGATTGACTGGATAAAAACGGAAAGAAAATGAAGCTGGATTTTTTATCTGAGGCTGTGCACATGTGCGCAGGATATTTTGCATTCGGCGTGACTAACTTCAGCTCATCTTTGGCTGGCCGGGCTGCGAGCCCCTAGGTGTGCGCCACTGTATGCAAAACACACGCTGCCACGTCTACCCAAAAAACGCTCCCTTATCGGTGCGATCTGCTGGGATCGCTGTTTGATTGCCGTTTACTATTTTTTGTTGCCCTTTCGCACCGTGAGCCAACTCAGGCGCCCGAAACATTTCAAGTTGTGTCGCAGCTACATGTTATGATGGGAAGAGCAATAACTCTTGAGTGACATCTTTCCGTCCAATCACGGCATAGCCCAGTGAAGCTGATGGATTTCGGGGTGAACTGTCCAATAGAGGTTGAGTAGAGGTGGGAATTTAAACCAAAAAAAAAGGGCCTCTGTCAACGTCACGGGTATATATTAACCCTTGAAATGAACTTTTCCTCGAGTTGTTGAACTGTACATCCTCAGCAGCGCAGACAACTTCATTCTGTGAGAGAGGAAAGAAGTCCAGACTGGCTTTGAATGATTTAAAATATACTGTGATGTTCACTTATGCATGTTACTTCTAAAATAGATAAAGTGGGAGATCCATTCTGCTGGTGGCCGGCTTCATTCACTTTTGGGAAAAGTTTTACTACATGCTTTACATCTGTCCTGACCTAAAATTCCACATGCTGAATATACCTTTTACTTTTATGACCATATTTCTGCATGTACTATTGAAGTATTTTATGCATTATTTGCTTTGATTTGGCTCTGACTGATGTACAAAAGCATTAATGAGCCTGTTCCGTCCTGTTCACCAGGTGAATCAATGAGCCAGCTATGGAGACCAAAAGATACCAAAGTTTCTTTGATGGAGACGACACAGAGAACAAATGGTCTCAGGTCCCCAGCAATATGGAGTACAGCTGCAGCACGGAGGACTCAAGTCTGACTAGCAGTGACATCCTGATGGACATAGTCAGTGTGAGCTGCTCTGCTGGAAGCCCGGCCGCCGACAGCAAAGACGACAGCACCAAGAAGCAGGAGCAGCCAGTGCTCCGGCTCAGCCAGAACCAGCCATTTGCTCTCCCTCACTTCAACAACTCCCTGCATGGTCATAAGCAGGAAATGGACTCCAAAGAGCTTTCCAAGACTGTGGCCGAGTCTATGGGTCTGTATATGAACGCTGCCAGGGAAGCTGATTTTTCTTTTAGCCAGCATGGAGGCAGCACAAGCCCCGGGAAGCTGTATCCAACCTGCGGACGGCCGCTCGAGGAGAACAGGGGTGGCTCCACAAAGAGCCCCAAACTAAAGCCGTTTGGTTTCCAGCAGCCCAGCTCCACTCCCAGAGACTGCTCTGCTGGTACTCCTGTTAGCTCAGCATCCATGCTGGCCTCCTCTTTGTCCTGCAGTCCCAAAACCTCCAGCTCCATTTCCAGCCCTGGAGGCAGTAACAATATAGTGTCCTCCACTACCAGCCCTCCTACGTGCTTTGGACCACTATGCTCGTCCGTCAGCAGTCCCGTGAGCCAGACTTTGTGTGCTGCGACTTTAGCCAACATCAAGCGCAGGAATTCAGTCACATGTAGCCCTGTAGAGTCCAGCACGGTCGGCTCGCCACCACTCACCAGCCCGCTTAATGTCATGAGGTCCCCGATGTCCAGTCCGCAGAGCATGAGCAGCGTGAGATCCCCTCCGTCCTGCAGCACGGCGTGTAACATCAGGTCGTCCGTTTCGAGCCCCTCAAACGGCAGCTGTACCGGCACCACTAACAACTGCAATGCAGCGAGACCCTCCATCTCCAGTCCGGCCTCAGCAGGCCCCATGGCTGTCAGCAGCCCTCAGAACCCTTGCTCCGCTGGGTTTCCCGTGTCTAGTCCTGCTGGAGGTCTTGGCTTGGTGCAGAATGACACTAATAGCCCGGAGGCAGCAGGGCTGTCCAGAGACACGGACTTCAAGAACTTTGAGTTTCCCAAAGTTGAGATGGTGGACGGGGAGGTGTTTAGTGTTGGCTTAGACCAGTTGGGCATGGTTAAGTACATTAAAAACGAGCCCGGGACGGACTTCAGGAGCATGTGTTTAGGGAACTCTAAATGTAACGCGAGTAATACACCGTTCATCACACAGATAAAGAGTGAGCCAAACAAAATGGATGGATGTTTGAACCAACAACCCTATGGTGAGCAGTCACCCTCTCTCGGTCTCTTCCCTGCATCCGAGACCACATATTTATCCCTGAGGAATAACACTGATGAATACAGTCTTTCTGGGATCTTAGGACCCCCTGTCTCCTCTGTGAATGGGAACTATGAGCCTGACGTGTTCTCGAACAATGTCCTGTCTAAAGGAGTTAAGCAAGAGTCCACTGATAGCAGCTATTACCAAGAGAATAACAACATGTCCACATCCGCCATTGTTGGAGTTAATTCCGGTGGACATTCATTCCATTACCAGATTGGAGCACAAGGAACAATGTCATTCACACGGCATGATGTGAGAGACCAGTCCAACCCATTGTTGAATCTAATTTCACCTGTAACTGCGTTAATGGAGTCGTGGAAATCCCGGCCTGGCATGTCACAGGGGTCACTGTCAGCTAGAGGTGAAGGATACCTGGGCCAGAACTGCATTGCTGACAGCATGTCAAGGTAAGAGGAATAAAAAATACCTCTATGTTTCTCTTCGTGTGCCTGTTCAGTGTGAAACTAACTGAAATTTGACTTCAAAGAGCAACAATTTTCCTTTTACCATATATTTTTTTTCTTCAGTGCATCTGTCATAGAGCATGTCTCCAGAGAAATTCACAAGACCTGTGCTGCACAGCCTTATCGGTTTTGTACCGATGTGCAGCAGGGTTAGGACAAGGCAGTGAGATGCAGGCTGCTGGGGACCAGGAATTTACCAGCATTGTTTAGGTCATATTTAAAGTAGCATGTGGTCACACAAGTGTCTGCCGTGATACTGGTCAGTGCTCTCTTGTAACACAGAGGCAAAGTTTACCTCTTATCAGAGGTCTTTGCGTAAGCACAACAACAAAATTTATTGGTCTCTTATCAGGAGGTCTAGCTAAGACCTTGTGTAATGCAAATATCTGTTTTTATAGGCTCTAGGCCATTGGAAGCATCATAAATTATGAATGATTGATTACATGCTTTTGTTGCCAAACTGGTGAAATAAACAGCTGATTTTGTGAGGGGGTGTGTGCGTGGGGTGGGGGGGCCTAAGGGAATAGAAACCTGTGATGTTTGCCAATGTGGCAAAGTAGAACTCTAACACAGTTAACGTGCTTCTGGGGTGTTCTGGTCTCGCAGAAATCTTTATTTGACAGTAACATTTCAAATCAATAATTTTGGTCATGATATAATCAACAATGTTGAAATTTTAACAAACTAAAATACTACTGAAGGCTGCCTGCCTAGTTTTTGTGAAAGTAAAAGGTTTGCGGCTCAGAATAATGGGTTTACATTTCATACAGCAAGCTTGAATAAAAGTAAACAGATATCGGTGATCATGCAATAAACACATTGCTATCACCTGTTTATGGACCAGTAGTCATAAACACTGTTTTATGACCTGCAGCAAAGATGCACTAAACAAAATCATAAATGACATCCGGCTTACTAGCATAGTGTTTGATAATAATCAGACGCTGGGTTTAAGAGGACTACTGTACTACTGTGAGTAATGCGAGCTTCTGCTGTACTGCTGTTGTTTACAGCCCCGCTCTGTTTGACTGATACTTGACAATGACAGGTCTAAACTGAGTTTGGGGCTGTGATGTTTTACAGAATCCTAAAATGGAGATTTATTAGATCAAAAGTTTCCCCTTCAGATGGTACTGATTGCTCTGCTTCGTACAGTGCTATATTTTGGATTTTCCTCTGCGCAGTAGCTGTCATGTTAGTGATATGTTTACAGGGAGGAACTGTCAGAAAACTGGTGTAGTACAATGTTGGATTGCATACACCATATTTAGCTCTATGTCACCAGATCACTACCAGAGTAACTTGTAAGCACAGCTGCTGCCTCTGTTGGCATGTTTTTGATCAACTTGAAAATTTGCATAAGTAGATTATATACTGACATAGTAAGTGTGGAACAAGATTCCTGAAAAATATTTTGCTCTTACATTTTGCTTCAAGAACTGGGATGGGATTTGATAACAGTGAATATCAGATCAATAGTCAAATGTTTAATTTTTGCACTTTTTGTACCTCCTGAAAATATGCCCCAGTGCTCTGTGCCTTTTTCCCAGGTATCTGTGTCTGTGTTTATTTATACTGCATCTCTCCTTAGCATGATTTTTCGATCCTCTCAGCCTGACGTGTTTATTCAGCTTTACATGTACAGTACACACTTGTCTAGAGAGTAGATACTCCGTCTGTGTGTTTGTGCATGTGCTATAACAAGGCTTGCAGCTCTGGAGAGACTGATACAGCCTGTTACCTTGGAGGCGACCCATATGGCAGGAGCCAAAGCGATGTTGACGGGATCACTGCCACCTTGGTCCTAATGAGATCCAGCTTAGCCCTAATGTCAGACGGGCTGACAGGAAGAGGTGGGCCACATGGCAGCTAGCCAGTCAGGCAGGGAAGAAGACACACACAAACAAAAAATATATATACATGCATTCATACTGTGCATAACACATACATTTGCTAAATATAGATACATAAATGTCACAGGCAGAATGTAGTTTTTGTCAGCAGTTGCTGACTACTTTCAGTGCCCAGTCACATCAGTAGCATTGACAGCTAAACTTAAGTAGCCTGCCCAGAATTTGAAAATGCACAGCAGGAAATCTTTGGGGCTCTCCAGCATTGGACAGACTACATGGTGCCCAGGCCCTATATCTCATAGGCAAAAATATGATGCTGTCATTAAAAAGCACAAGTGAAAGTCTTTTATCCACAAAAGCCTTAAATGACAGAGTGTTAAATCCCCGGACTCCTCTTTTTTTTCTCACTTTGCTTTCCTGCGTAAATGGTTTTAATTAAAAATGGCTGCTCATCTGAGCAGTCTTGGTTATTTTGTACAATTTTTTTTTCTTTAACTCGCAGAAGAATAACAAAGAGTAGTAAGAATTACAGTTCTTAAAATGGTTACATTCACGAAATGTTTAGTTTTAAACTGAAAAGTTGAAAACAAGCTAAAACTGAGCATTTTTTGTTTGAGTATTACTCTCTTGGAGGAACGTAAAGAAAACCATAGCACTACAGGTATGAGATATGTAAATATGGACATAATGGCAAAGTGGTCGACATCAGGGATCAAGGGATCTCTGCCAAATCTCAAAATCTCTTTTACTTCTATCTAGGCCTTTTTGGACTCGTTTGTCTTATGATATCATAAACCCACCAAATATAAGACAAAATACAAAAGCCACAACTGTGTATTATCATTTCTATCCTCATTTAAATGTTAAATTTACCTATCCTAACTCTTTCAAAAACCTCCATACCCCCTCTACTACTCTTTCTGCACTTCTCTCTCTCTTTGCTATCACCACTGATTCTGACAAGGGATTTTCCTCTAGAGAACTTATGATAACTGTAACGTTGTGTCTACTTTGTAAATCGCTTTGGATAAAAGCGTCTGCTAAATGCATAAACATAAACATACCTGTAGCAATGGAAGAAGCAACATATGAAGGGCCGCTGTTGTCCTCACATTAAGGTTGTAGCCAGTTTCTATAGCTCACCCTCAATAAAGTAGCAGCAGTCAAGTAGGGAGAGCGCTTTACACTGGACTTTGGCTAACTCCCAATGTTCTGCAGAGGGATGAAAAGGCATACTCTTGAGAGAACACTAATAAGGTTTTAATTGTATGTTCCTCCACTAAATTAATGGATGGAAATGATTTGATTAATTCAGACACCGCTGGATACTAATATCCAATTAAATACCAACAGCAGGCATGCACAGGGGCTCCCAGTGCATTATGGGTTCCTGACCATCTAGCGTACAGCTGCTTTTGGTGGGGAGATGGATGTTACAGGTGAAGATGTTGGGGAATGGCTATGAGTCTGATTTGCTGGCCAAGTCGACATAAAATTGTGCCAAAGATGCTGTCTTGTGTTGAATGCAAGTGCTTTAATTATGTGCATTCTCATGAGTGCTGGTGAATATTTAATTATATAGTAGTAATTAAGTGGAGAATATGATAATTTAATTGTGCTAGATTCAGTCTTAAGCGCTATGCTGACAAACTTCAAGTCGGAGATCGATGTTTCTCTCGTATTTGTGTTTCCTTTATTTAATTTTATTATTCAATAAAAATCAGTCACTCTATTTAATATTTTTTATAGTTTTAATTGCAAACAAGTCACCCATTTGCAGAGTTTGCATGTGCCTGCACAGCCAGTATCTTAGCAATCCCATAGATGTCAGTTTAATAATTGTCACCTGTTTTGATTTCTTTATTGGGGACCAGACATGCCCAACGTATGACAACTCTAAACCCCCACAGTAGCAGCTACCCCTGCCTGGCCAAAACTGTTTTGGAAGGGCTCAAAGAAGACAACTGATTTTGAGACATTCAGTCGGCCCACACATTTCCCACACACCAGTCTCCTGGGGTCTGATGACACCTGCAAAAAGCAGACCCAATCTACAAAGACCACAACGCACAAGGCCCAAATTATCTATTGCAAATGTCCAAGCACCCTCAGATCTTCCTTGTCTGTGTCAGGTCCTGTCAAAAAAACGTTGTTGGCAAGTTGTTCATATTTAGGCCAGCAGTGATAACATTATGTCTGATTAGCCTGTGCGTGAAAGAAGTCATTGTTCACTAAATTAATCATGCTCACAGAAGCATGTATGTCATTTAAAAAAATCAATGAGTAAAACACTGTAATGAAATAAAAAAGGATTAAAAAAATTCAGCAAGATAGTAGCTCTCAAAGGTCTGGCTCTTTTCTGTCCACAGGCCAACTGGCCGTGGATTGTGTGGGCTGTTTGAACTCTGTAAGACAGAGTCAGGAGGCGGTATTCAAGATCTGAAGAGTGAGAGTTGGTACAACTGATGAAATCGTTAAAAGTGTATCTTTTAGTTTCTATTTAGTCCTTGACAAAAATCTATAAAGTACAAGGAAACGTTCTCTTATTGAGTTTGATTAGACAAAGAGGTTCATATGTTTTTATGAGCTACAGGCACAGGGAGTTTGATTCTGTTGGAAGAAAGTGTTTGCTTAAGTGTTTCATTTGTACAGGCAGGATGTGGTTAATCTTGAGCTCATTATCTATCTCATAATGCTCCTTCAGAGAAGTAGCTTAATACTATCATGCGATTAATAATGACCGCCTTATGGTTTTATAAACTTGTGTTGCAGTTTACTTTTTCACTGGGCCTTGCAGAGCAACAATAGACAACTGTTATCGTAAATAGCCTCCATCTGATCAGCGAGATTGATGGTGGTCATCATCTCAAGAGCAGACACGTACGCCAGCTCCAGTAATAAAGAACATAAAGCCATGAATTATTCTCCCAACTGAAAGGGCTTGATGAGGTTTTATCAATATGCCAGCAACCACTTAATTAATGTGAGAATAACCCAGTGAGGGTGTATTAGGGTAACAAAATGTGTAGAATTGCTCAGAATTAGTTAAGCATATCAGATGTATTGTCTGAAAAAAAAATCAAAATGGCTCTTT